TAAGTTCTAAATAACACAAATTTGGACGTTGTCAAAATAAAGCCTATAGTTAAAACCAACACATACCATCTTAGGAAAGAGCAGAGTTTCCGGGGAGTTAAGATGATCTTATGCAGGTGGAATATTTGGACCTCTACTTCAATCAGTTTTGACACAGATCTGGGAATAAGTGGCTATTCCCTGGCCCAATCATCTGGCCTACAATCTAGTGGGTTTTGGATATGTGCAAATTGGGCTGAAAAAATCCAAAGTGTCCAATAAAAACAAGAGCTTAAAATGGGAGACACTGACATAAAGTAGTGTGAAAACATGCTCTGTTCCAATAAAGACAGCTGAAAAATTCCCCCTTTTGTAACACTGAGCAAAAGTGATGACATATTTGGTCTCATACTGAATGCATGAAAACAGAGATTTTTTTTTTGCAGAGGATGAAAACATCATTTGGTGTCCTTTTCCAGCAACAAATGCTAGCATTTCACAACAGGTGAAATTTGGAAACCTAAAAGGACAGTGGGAGAGGACAGTTTTTCTAAGAACAGAGTTTTGGGTTCCTTCTCAATGTTCACACCAGAAATTTCTAAAGGCCAGTTTATTCTTCTACATCGTTACTGCCTGTTGTGAATTAAGTTTGAAATACCTTCTCCTGACATGTGGCATTTCACCTTGGTGCTCTTTCCCCATGGAAAAGTCTTGCCCATCTGTTTTGAGGCAACTTGGCATCAGAATCTGATTTCTCTTGGAAACTTTAGGATAGGACTGGTCATCAAAGCACATTAATCTCAACTAAACCTGCAGCTGAACACATGCATCAAGTGCCTCCCTGCCTGATGTGCAAGTGTTCTCACCATGCATGCTGCAATCCTACGGTTCACTCCACAGCAGAGTGCTCCCCCTTTCCTGCACACCCCAAACCCCCCATCCTGCTCTGGGTAAGAGCCCTTGGCTTGTTTGCATATTTTAGCTTGCTCAGGCTCCTGTTTAGCATTTGTTTTTCTTGGCATTTCAAAGCATCATGTCCATTTTTATTATACCCTTGACAGACCAAATCCTAGGGCCAGCAGGCCACAATGAAACGAACACTTAAAATTTATAGAAGAAATTCAGAATATATTTTCCACAGAGCCTAGAAACTTTGTCACCTGGTAAAATACTGCAGGCAGGACAGTGGGCTTCCACTGCATTTGTGTGACCTTCAGAATCGGCTCTGAATTTTGAATCTCTCTCTTTCTCTCTCTTCTTCCCCTCCTCACCTATATGCATACACACACAACAACAACAGCAGCAACAACAATAAATTAAATTCCGATATAGATGCCTGTTAACCTTCATGACATAGCCACAAACCTAGCACCTGAGTTTTGAGCACTGAAAACCAGCAGTTATCTTTAAATAGTATAAAAGACTCAAAGCCCCAATCATTTCAACTCTGTCTATACAAAACATAGCCTAGGCTGGCCATGCATAGCTCTTTCTTTACAGATAGATAATTTTTCCCTAAAGACTAAATGTTTTGAGGGATATTTAGGCTCAGCCGCACATGTTTTCCCACCAAAACATCTTACCTCCTGACAGTTCTGAGATTTGAGATTGCTCCCATAAACCCAGTTGTCAAATAACCAAAAGTGAATACCAACATGGCACCCACGAGGTGATCATGACTCTGCTTGAAAGCTACAAGTCCCCACAAAGAACCTTTAGACAAGACCCTTGCTCTTAGGAGAACATATCTAGTTGAGAAGGGAAATCTTAATACATCTAAAACAATCAGTATACCTTCTGAGTTCCACTGATACAAGTTTAGTTACATTTTCCAAGTTCTTTGATCATGGAATATATTATAACAACTCATGAAGGAAAGGGAGTTCTGATCAGGTGAGACCACCTGTGAATTTCAAGGATGCTAGTATTGTGCGTTCTATAATCTATGCAGGCACCACGTAGGCATTTGTTCTCTAACAGTTGGTTAAAAGGTACGTGTAATTACCTGCTCCTAAGTCCTCAAAATCATCTACCATGGCCTGAGCTGAGCTGTAACTAACTATAAGTGTCACCCAGCAATGTCAGATTTATCATCCCAAAATGCTGTTTCTTTCATACTACAGCATGTTGAGGAGCTGAAAGGTCCTCTCTCTTGCCCAGGATATTACTGAGTTCCAGCTTCTCTGAAAGGAATCTTTAAAGTGTGACATCACATCTGTAATAGTTATTTTTATTTGTCAACTTAGATGGTATTCTTGAATGAAATTATCACTTAAATCAGCTTTGAGTTAGCAGCTTGTTCTCTATCATATGGGTCGGCTTCATCCAATCATTTAAAGGCATGAACAGAACAAACAGATTAGCCTCCCCAAGCAAGAGGGAACTTTCCAGCAAACTGTCTTTGGACTTCTTCCACACCAATGGTTCTCTTGGGTCTTCTCCTGCTGGTCCACACTGAAGACGGAGTATCAGTCTCCATAACTTCACAAGCCAACTCTTTATGATTTCTTTCCCCCTTGTCCTCTCTTTTGTTCACTCTTTCTCCATAGAAATATATACGTGTGTGTGTATCCTCTATATGGTTCCTCTGGAGAACTGACTGATACAACACCCATTGCTGCATAGTAAGTTATACCAAAACTCAGAGGCTTAAACTACAATTAGTTTCACGTAGCTCCTGTGGGTCAGAAATCTGGGCACAGTGTGTATGGGGTCCTCCACTTCAGAGTCTCTCACAGGCTGCAATCAAGGTCTCTGCCAAGACTGCAGTCTCATACAAAGACTTGCTTGGGGAGGGATCTGCTTCCCAGCTTCTTTCCATGATTGTGGTAGAATTCAGTTGCATGTCACTACTGCAAGGAGGGACCCAGTTATTTGTTGGCCATTAACCAGAGGTTGCCCTCACTTCTGAACCATGTGGTCCCTTCCATAGGACAGGTCATGATATGCAGCTTGTTTCATCAGAGCAAGATTGCAGGAGAAGTCAGAGGGAGAGGGCTACCAAGAAGCAAGTCACAGTCTTTATAACCTAATCATGAACATGACATCCTACCACTTTTGCCATATTCTATTCATTAAAAGCAAGTCGCCAGGTCCAGCCTAGCTTCAAGGGCAGGAGACTGCATAAGGACACTAATACCAGGAGGCAGAAATCACTGGGAGCCACGCCGGAAGCTGTCTACTGCACCCATCTGACTTCCTCTTTCCCTATTTTTCTACATGAATCCTCAATGCAGCCTTCAGAACTCTTAACTGGCACTCAACATAATCTGTACCTTTGCCAGCCTGTTGTTCTACCTACAGTGCTCTTCACTGTTTCTTCCTAGCAAATTGTACCCACAACTCTGGATACGTATTTCAAAAGTTGTCAGTTATCTCATGTATGCAAACACTTTGACTTTAAGACATTTATCCGTACCTATCTAGAGTCATGCATTGAGCCTCAGGAGATGTGTAGGTTAAGTCTGAACAAGCCATCATTAGTGTCACCAGAAGAAATGTATTTAACTTTATTAGAAAAGTGTTGCTCAGGAATGTAGGCAGTTCTCTGAGAAGTGTCCAGATCTCCTGGACCATGTGGAAACAGAGAAATGGCCATCCTTATCAAATTTCCATTGCTAAAACCATAATGGTAGAAACACAAGTCTAATTTCATTTGAAGGGAAACATTTTCAACCCTCAAGAGAATGACTGGTTTTAGATTCTGGGTTCTGTTTCAGGGAGGCATTTTTGTTTTCTTATTGCCTCCCTTCTGTTCTATGGAGGTCAGTTCCATTTCAAAGAGAATAGTATTTAAGGTTGGTTTGCTGTATGGCAAGGGATTTGCATGCCACCTCATCACGAAGGTATTTATCTTTCTGAGTAAAATGAAAAAATAAAATGATACCAAATTATGCTTGCCAAAGAAAGCTTAAAAATCCAAATGAAGGGTCAGACATATATGATTGCTATAATCTACAGGTTTCCCTCAATCCAGTATAGAGAGGGAGACAGAGAAAGACAGATGCCAAGTGGTAAATTTTCAAGTTCCCAATCTTAGGCTTTTAAAATTAAGTTCAGAGAATTAACAGTTTAATGTAGGGAAGTTAATTTTATTGCTATTATTCATAACATCCTCCTTCCCTTTATTTTTCTCAGGTTTATCAATTGGTCTACTTTTATGTCATCTTTCCAGATGAATAGAGGGTACAAAAATCACACAGCAATCATTCTGAATAACAATCTTGGACATCAGACCTCAAAAGAAAATAAGAATGCAAGGACACACGTGTGCACAGACGCTCACACAGCGTTTTTCAACATGAAGGTATAAAGGTATGTACGGAGGAGTGAAAAGGATTCATGAACACTGACAGAATTAAGAAAGCTGCTGAGGCAGTTTCTTTGGCTCAAGTAAAGTTTGAGATTATTTTTTTGGCAAGAATTACATCTTTAGGGATGCTAAGAAAACAATATGATAGCTACAGAAAGAATTAACCCTTCCATTGCTTCAGAAACCTTCTTTGAGCTGTGGACCCGTTTGGCACATCACAGGATTAAGAATGGGTGGGCACCGCAGAGGTGAGGAAACCACTCTCACTAATCAGTGTGGAGCAAGGCACCATGTGAAGTCACCAGTGTAAATAAAGCCCCATGATGACCAAGTGCAGCAGGGACAAGCAGTGACGTTCATTGTTCTCCCTCTACCTAAAATGGAAACCACTCAGATACAGACGGGGGAAGCCAACTGGATAGGAAGAGCAGTGGGGAAAAAAAGTTGGTGACAGGCTATGATGTAAATAGACTCGCTGAAAAAATCATTTTGTCTTAGTCTTAAAGACTGGTTAGTTCTAGCATATTGAAATTTTTATAACTCCAATGTGCAACCAAGAAGCAGTTCTGCATGTAATCTCGTCTTAATAATAGCTGCTAAGGGACTGTTCGATGAAAATTATGAATAAAAAAGGTAGAGCTTCAGAAACAGCTGGTAGGAGGGATTGAACAAAACCATTTCCTACCCGTTCCCTTCAACAGTGGCTTCACACAAACTGAGGTCATCACATTATTCTGCTGTTTCTTCATCTCTTTTTCCTGAGAGAATTATAAGAATAAGATCAGTATACTCAAAAGAGTAAATGGGAGTCTTTTTTTCCACAAAGTTATAAGTGGTCCTTTACATATTAGCTATTGGGGTAGTTAGTGGTCACAAAAGTTGGTAGCAAAAGAAAGGTTAGTAAATCACTTCCTGCAAAACTTCCTAGGGTATCAGACAAGCCCTGGGAAATTATTTACTCTGAGATAAAACACACATGATTGGGAAGTGCTATCCATAGAACAAGTATTAAATTGTGGAGGTACTGATATTAGTTGAATATCGATGATAAAAGTATGCTATTATAGCTATTTGTTTGCATTTTCATGAAATGCAGCTAGAATTTTATATTTATTTTATTCTCGTATTTTCCTAATACAGTTCAATCAGAGTTAAAAAGAAATCTGTGGCATTTCCTACTCCTTTCCAGCAGTGGAAAGGCGTGTATATAAAAATCAATTAACATTTTTTCAAAACCAAATCAACCATCCAATAATCAACTGTCTTACACTGAGCAGTTACTACAAGCCAGGCAGAGTGTCAAGCATTTGCATATGTTATTTCATGTAATACTCACAAAAATACAATGAAACTGTCTAATTTTATAGATAAGAAAATTCAAGTTCAGCCAAGTAAATGGTTTAATCAAGGATTCACAGCTGCTGACTGCAGTGAGGAGGTAAGAACCAAAGTCTCTGAGGGCCAGTTCCTCCTACCAGCTAAAACTGCACTCAGGACGCCCAGCCTCAATGTTACATCCCTAGAGTTACAGATTCATGAAGTCCTTGCTATCATATATATGATGAGAATAGAGGAGAATTGGTATTTGGTTTTAGGTGTTCTTACCTACTAAAACCAAAATTTGCCAATTTTTAATACTCATGTGGATTCTTTATACTGTTCTATTTTATTTACTGGTTCATGAAAGCTCAAAGTCTTAGCACTGCTGATCCAAGGAGCACGTAGTGTTCTAAATAATAAGAATTAGGCACTATGGTAGGCTGCAAAAATAGCTAAAATCCTCCATTCCTCTCTGTATGCACGTTACTTTGACGTTACAGTGAGACTTTGAAATCCTCCCACTGAAGGATGGAGGTTATTTCCCCTCCCACATGAATCAGCTGGGTCTTATGGCTTGGCCATACAATGCTATGGAAATAATTGATGTGCCAGTTCCCAGTTTAGGTCTCAAGAGACCCTGATTACTTCTGCTGTGTCTCTTAGAACCTACGACCACCATATGAACAAGCCCAGGCTAGCTAGCCTACAGGAGAAGAGAAACGATGTGCCCAGATGTCTCTATTACCCACAACAACCAATATCCAGTTAACCCCCAGAAGCAGAATCATCCCGCATACATATGAGTGAGCCCAGCCAAAATCGCCAACCCACAGGATCATCAGTTAAATACATGGCTGTTGCTTTAAGCCTCTAAGTTTGGGGCTGGTTTGTTCCACTGGAAGGCTTAACTGATACAGGCATATTTATAAGCATTAGATAGAAATTGGAACAGATATTAGAAAATCTTATCACTCATCAGAACTCTGAAACCAATCTTGGAATAATTCCTTAGCATATACATTCCTTGCAATCATCTTTTCCGATTTTATTTTAAAGTTGAAGCAATTTAGATGCACGCTGTTGTGAGAATTATGCAAGCTCACACATCTAATTATTGATAGAAACTATGTCTAGGAACCTCAAGCAATAGAACTATTTCTCCACATGCCCTGAGTGCACTAAAGTTACCTTTGTTCATCTATCTATCATTACTGAGTGGTGTTTTTTTGACACTGTGCATGGCACCATCAATGATCTCTGTGGAGCAAATGAGGCTCTAGGAGATGTGTTTTGATGACCCAATGAAGGGAACAGAACGCTCCTCATGGGCCAAGCTGACCCCATTTTAAATTAGAAATATTTTCGATAGAAAAAAAAAAAGAAATATTTTCAATGCTTGTCAGTCAACTGGAGTAGCTAGGAGCTGGAGGACCCCAATCGAGTGTATGGGTCCTAGTCCTCTCTGTGCTTATTATGGCCCTAGAACAAATTCCTTTCCCACTCAGCCATTCAGATTCCTCATCTATGAGGTAAGGGGGCTGGACGCTGAACTTTACGGCCCTCACCATTCCAACGCATCTTGAGCCCTTAATCTGGTCACTTAAGGCTTGGAAATGAAGCCCAAAAGATAAATGCATGAAAACTCTCTGGAGACAGAAAACCTGGTATCTACTTTAGTCGAGTTTAACCTGCTGCTTTTCTGAAATCCAAACAAAAGGCAATTTGGTTTACAGGTGTTATTGTTATGGGTTATTGTAGGTTATTCTTCTAGAAATAAGATTTCTACAGTTTTTTTCACTAAGGTTGCTTTTGTGCACACTACGATCGTGGTTTTCCATGGTCGGTCATTAAATGTATTCTGTGACTTGAGTTAAAGTATATTCAAGGATCCACATGAAAATAAAACCAGGCACATTGCAACCTCTATTGTGATATTTATCACTGATGGCGCTCACATGACTGCAGAGCTCCATAAAACTCTGGAGGGGTTACCTTCACTTAATGGCGTCCTTCCCTTTCACTCACCAGCCACTTCTTATTGCAAACAGCTGCTTGGAAACGAAAAAACATTTTGTATTTCCAAGGGACATTGTTGGCTCTCAAAGTACTTTACTCATTTTATTTAACAAATGTTTAAGTTTAATCGAATTTCTAATTCCAAAAATGAGCCGATCTTGCATTTTGAATCGCTAGCTCATGAGACCTGTGCATTTAAAATAGTATAAAAGGAATCACATTTGAGAGCCAAAAAAAAAAAAAGTGCAGTCTGTGGCTTCTATGGCTTTAGCTTCCTCCTGTGATGTTTCTGTCACCCCCTTGGACCAGCTGGCTTCTGCCCATGCATTGATTCTGAGGGGACCAACGACCTGGCTTATAATGAAGGCTTCCCTGAGTTCTGATAGAAAGCTCATTTCAAATAATCTAGGGAAACTGCATCAGCACCAAAGTAAGGGAAGAAAACAAGCATAATATAAACTTTATTAGCACTCTTTATAATGAAATAAACTAGGCTTACACTTCTTTTGCAGGGGAAAATGATGAACACAAAAAACATACCGTATTTTTACTTACTAACGTGCACTTGTAAAATGCATGGCATGCTGTTTTACAGGCAGTAGCATATAAAATACTTTTTCCAGATGTGGATTCATAATTCTCTAAAGACTATAATAGTTATCATAAGATTTATGGAGGATAATTATTAATCACATTTTTTTCTTTTAGAGATCTGTTTAGTAAGATGAAAGAGAACTTTAAAACGTCATTTTAACCAAATGTAGATGGCATAATATCAAGTTACTCCTTTTGTTCAAATTATTTTTAATGACTTTATTTGTTTTATGGCCTCCACAAGTCAGTACCAACTTGGTGGTAATGATCTATTCAGGAAATCTCTTAAGATTTTAAAAGTAAAATAGCATGGAGCTATTTTAAAAATTAAATGAACTGAACTGTGTGACTGTGTGAGTTGATTAGTGTTCATTTATTTGAGGGACATGGGAGCCACTAAAGCTTATTTTTTATAAGATTTGGAGGAGACAAATCTTGTGAAAACCATGGCACACTGAACATTCAGGCAGCTTCCTCAATAGAACCTCAGAAACCCACGTGTGTCTGAAGTGCTACAAGTAACACATTGTTAAATAAAACACACATTTCAAACACGGATCCCTTTAATCTGGCTTAGATTATTAAAAACACAGCTGTGCTAAATCCTTATTGAGTACCTGAGTCACGTGATAAGTACAAAAGTCCAAGAGACCCTCCTTTTGTCATCAATTTATTTGAAGTAAGTTCTGCCTAAAGCTTAACACTGCCAAAGGAAAGAAAGGTAACTCTGAAGTTGCAGGGGACTCATCAGTCCTAAAATAACTCTCCTCTCACACACCATCTCACTGCTCTCCAACTCACTGCTCCCCTGGCAGGGGTGCTTACACGATGGGTGTAGACCATTACTGAATGAATAGTCAGCATATAGATCACCTTCCTTGTTCCATCCAGACTCTTACAACAGCCACCAGACTTTCTCCACCTCTAATATACATATAATAACACTTAGTTTGCAAGTTATCATAAGTGTTATAATCAAATGATGAGTACAAGTCATCTATAGCCCAGCACATAGTCAGTATTCAACAAATAGGAGCTAATTATCATGTATGTAAGCATATGAGAAGTTTGTCTTTATTCTGGAAGAGTAATATAGTCAAATAGCATTTATTGACAAATGTGAAAATAAAAGCTGCAAAATTATTATGAAACAGAAACCTTTTGAGTCACTACCATGTATAATCCAGTATTCTGGGCTTGGTAAGGGACAAGCAAACACGTGAAGGGGGAGGGATCTATGTTCCAAAGTGTTGAAAATTTCAGCAGTATTTTAAAGTGCCAGGAATATGAGACCCTGAGATCAGATACAGACCTGGGTCGTAAGCAGCAATTACCACATGAAGGGAATGGGCAGTGACTCCTGAAACTCGAGAAAGGGTTGAGAATGGATGGGTAGGCTATGAAGACTTCACCCGGGATGAACCCGAGTATAAGAAGGTAAGAAGTATAAAGGAACTCAGGGGCAACCGATATTTAAGTGAATCAGGTAATAGGTGTAGCCGAACAGCTTGAGCAGTGAAGTGATGATGCCAGAAGAAATGGCTCTAAGAAACTGAAAACCAGGCTCAGTTTCTGTGTGGAGACACCAGGCCTTCCTGAAACTCTCTGAGAGTATGAAGGAAGGTTGTGGGTAATATCGGTATCAGTCCCTAAAGGAGGAGATGTGCTACATCTGATGAAGATTAGTATCCCCAGGGGAACTTCCTTTCCCATGAGAAAGGAACTCCCCTCTCCTGCACAAAGCAGCCTGTCAAGAACACAGCCCTCCAGCTACGCCTCATGTACCCCTCCACTGCAACAGTCTCTGTGGTCCTGGCAATTCCCTCTCCACTCATCTGCCTGCCACACAGAACTGTGAGCTCCTAGAGGACGGGAACTACTTTCTCTCTGCTTCTCCAAGATCAGGGAACGAGTTGTAGTCTGAGAATGTCTGATGAATGGTCTTATTCTTGGCTGAAAGTCCAGTGGTAATGGTGATTGTCAAAAGAAGATGTTTACATACAAGGTTTTCATCCAGGCAGAAAGTGCCACATGGAAAAAGGAAAAGAACGTAGGAATAAAGGGAGGGCTAAAGTCTACCTGGGATGCAGATTAAAGCATTCCCTTGCACCTCTTTAGTTAGTCTAAGGGTGCAACCTGGAAATGCACACGCTGGGGACACTTCTTAACCAGGAGCCAGCTGACCATAGTGACCTATTCAGTATCAAACCAGACTCCATCTTGTTCCTTTGTCCTCCAGAAGAGAGACCAGGCAGGACCAGATCATGAACAACAAAGTGTCTTGAGCACCCTACCCAGGAGCCCATTGCCCTGAGAGTGTGCACAGGCTTGACCTCTGCCTGAACCTTACAGTCCACAAAGCAGCATCCTTGAACCATGGAGAAACATGCTCTCCTACTTGGTCAGCTGTCACTGATCTGGAAAGCAAATGAGTGCTCTGTCCACATGAGACAAGAGACCCTCCCTTACCAGAGGGAGTGGGGCTGGAAGATAATCCGAGTGTAACCTTGGCAGTATACATGTAGTTACTCTTCCCTACAAGCTCTCCCCTGAGATCTTGTCTAATCTACTTACCTGGAGGGCACTGTCCAAAGTATAGGGGAGATGCTTCAGAACAAATTCCACATCTCTTCTAAGCCATGGCTCCTCCTTTCTTTATAAATGCTTCTTAGTTGAACAAGGAACACAAACCAGAGGTTGACAGATGCGCCCTGCAAAAAAGCCATGTGGGGAGCAATAAAGAGAGCCTCATGGGATAAGAGAAAAATACACCTGCTTTGTAGTCAATGTAACCAGACTACATGGCCCAGAATACATGCATCATAGAATTTCAGAGATTATAGAGCAAAGATTGGGTGGATCTTCTCTGAGGAGACAGCATGCCAGTCTTTTCTAGAGCAAAATAGCCAAGGAAGGAAACCACTGTACATATGTCCCCTTGGTCTAAGCTGGGGCCAGATCATGGCTCTCAGAGAAATTTACATTAGATAATGGGTAAAGATAGGGTTTTTTAAAGGATTTTATTTATTTATTCATGAGAGACACTGAGAAAGAGAGAGAGGCAGAGACACAGGCAGAAGGATAAGCAGGCTCAATGCAGGGTGCCTGATGGGGGACTCAATCCCGGGTCTCCAGGCCCATGCCCTAGGCCGAAGGTGGGGCTAAACTGCTGAGCCACCCGGGCTGCCCAAGATAGTTTTGAATAAATAGCATGTGGACTCACCGTCCCTTCACCAGCTTCCTTCATGTCTGGTTCCTCGGGGAAAAGATAGTTCACACATTTATATGACAGTTGGTCTCAGGCAGTATTCTCACTGTTTTGCATAGAATAATGCAATTAGCTCACAACCACCCTATGAGTTTACACTATTCTCACCCCCATTGTTATAAACCCAAGTACTATGAAAGTTGACAGACACCCTAGTAGGGAAGGTAGAGTCTCAAAGGGTGTTTTATCTTCTATCAGCAAATGCTTTTCAGGACCCCAGTGTCTACAAAAAGAAAAGCTCAACTATAAAAAGATGAGTCTCAACTCATCTCTGTTGAAATCCAGATAGTCTGTAAAGTTCGAGAGAATAAGTGGCATTTAACTCATTAGTCTGCACCTAACACCACTCTATATTCTCTTCAGCAGCTTAAAGAACAGAAGTGAGAGCAAAGGTGGGAACTCAGGACATAAATTTACCATCTGCAGTGAAATGAAATCTGATCCAAGGAGTTTCCACTTTGAAGTCTTCCTGAATCTGTGTGGGTTACAGGTCTGAACATATCACCAGCTTTGACAGGTGGCTTTATTTTTCATTTCAAAGAGGGAAAAAGAAAGGCAAGGAGACCGAGGGAACACATGCACAGTGGAGCTTTGAACATTGCCCTCCGAGTGCTCACAGATGCACTTCCCTAAGTTCAGGTTGCATGTTCAGGAGACCAAAAGAAGTTGGGCTCTTGTGCCTCCCAGACTTTTCCTTCCCTGGTCAGAACTCTGTGAAAGCAGCTGCTCACCAGCTTCCTCCCTGCTTGGAGTGCCCACCCTTCTCCTCAGCTCCTGCTTGGGCTGCAAACCTTGCCCACACTTGAGCCAATGCTCCGGGGGCTGGGCATCTGTAAGGTGATGCCAGCAGGCAAGAGAAAGCTCCAGTGGAGGAGTAGCGCTTGTCATTTCCTAGCAAATGACAGCATTTCGGAAGGCTGAAACTCGGCTGCCCTTCAAAATCCTTCAGCCCATAGCCTGCTGGTTACAACACTGAGCCTGTCTAACCAATTACCTTTAATATCCTGAGCAAGGCAGAACATAGAGGACTGAATATGGCCAATAGCTCACTCTGGGTGTAAGGTCACCAACGTGTGATTTAAATCCTACCTCCCTCCAAAAGGATTACCTGTTACTTATTCATAAAAAAAAAAAAAATGCAGCAAAGCAGAGCCTGAGTGTTTCCCAGTGTAAATTCAGGCAAGCCCATGCATGTCCTGGCCTGCCACAAGCCTCCACCATGAGGTCCCCAGGAATCCCCTGAAAAAGCCAGTGCTGACCATCACCACATCCTGCACCATGAGAACCCCTTACACTATGGGGAACAAGAGGTCCCACTCCACTGGGTGGGAGAAGGACATTCTTCAGGAAGAATGGGTCTGGTGTGTGAAATCAGATCACTCTCACGGCCTTGTAGGGAAGATGACACTCAGGTTCTCTTCCAGCCAAGCCCGCTCTAGGCCAGCTATGCATTCTCAGGGGAAGGACAGAGGGAGTGGGTCTCTTCAACAGCTGTGAGGTCAGACCCCCCTGTACGAGACTGGGAGCATCCAGCAGCATAACTCAGGGGTGTCCTGAACTGAGTGCTTGGAGGACAGGATTTGGCTTTGTATCTTTAATAAGTGACATTTGTTTGACATTTATTTCTGATTACAAAAGTAATACATGCTCATTACAGAAAAACTGGAGAACACAGAGAAGCATGAGGAGGAAAACAAAACTCTACCATAATCCCACCCTTCTGGGCCTTGTGTTTTATTTAGTCAAATCTTTCTTTTAGACTGTCAATATACTTATCAGAAATAAAAATATTGTTTTGTAACGTGCCCTTTTGTAACATTGCAAGAACCCTTTCCCCCATGATGATGTATGCTTCCACAACAGGGGATGTCTAAGATCCCTGTGTGTACCTGCCATAATTTGCTGGGACCCCTTGTTGACTACCGGTTTGACCATCTATCATTTTTTATATTATAAATAACACTGAAAGGGACATCTTGTATGTACAACTTCATGTACATCCCGGATTTTATCCTTAGAATACAATTTTGAAATCCAACCATGGGAATAGAGTGTTTGCATTTCTTATTTTCAAGATTTTTCTTGCATACTCTAATGTTAAACTGACTGACAAATCCACTTAGAATTGCTCAGTTAATGTCCTTGGCTTCCTGGAGACTGGAGGTGACTCTGTGTCCCGGGGTTTGGATGGAAGTACTTCAGGGTACTCTTGGAGTCTTACTGCTGTCATGAAGAGTGGGGTTTAATTAATGTGTGATGTCATCACCCAGGGCAGTCCCTTATCTCATAATTGACCTTCTCATATGTTCTTCTCTACTTGGTAGTACTGCAAAGCATGGATTTGAAGGTTGAAAAGGCCGGATTTGGATTTCTGCTTCCCTTATTATTTTGTGACCTTGGGCAAATTGCTTCATCTCTTTTAGTTTCCTCTTAGACTTCTTGTTTAGTGCTGTGACTACCCACTAAGCACAACCATCCCAAATCCTGCCCCACATTTGAAGTTTATGCTGAATGCCTTATCTTATGATTGAGATCAAAGCTGAAAACTTTGGGTTGTATGCTATCAAGATATAAGAAAAATTTACTGTATCAGGATTTGCTGGGTATCAATAAGTGAAACAGTGATTGGGAGTCAAAGGGAGTTATAGAAACTAAGTACCTTAGAAATCAACTAGCCACACTCTCCCATGCAGCTTTGCAATGTGAGAAGACAAGCTGGAGAGAGGTGAGCATCAGCCGTATTTGTGAATATCCATTATCAGTCCCTACGCTCTAGCTTTTTTCTAATGGCCTTCTTCACCAATATTACATACTCTCCAAAGCAACAGAAGGAAACAGGAAAGTAAATGGCACTTCCCACAGAACATTTATCATAGAAGGATTTGTGATATTTGACCTGCCAAAGGTCTTATGGGAAATAGTGGGAAAGTGCGAACTATCCTCAGGGCAGGAGGGATGCAGCTATCATTGGCTAGAACTGGCTTGCTATGGGCCCTATCCTGCAACCAAAACAAGTTAAAATCCAAGGGAGCTGGGTTTCCAATAATAAAAGGTGGGTATGAGCTAGAGATCTACTCCTGGGTATCTGTTGCCTCAACTTAATCACTGAGCACTACAGGTGTGTGTGTCCTGGGGATTCAAAAATGATGGGGTTCTTGAACTCTGTGAACAATCATAAATCCCTCTGAGAAAATGTTGAATCTATGTCCCTATATCTTTGTATTCTTTAAATACAAAGAAATTGTTGCAAATATACAGGGGATTCATGAAAAACCCATCCTATAAATCCAAGATAAAAACACAATGCAAAGTTAGAACAAAAAGGAATTATCAGATGCTGGGGTAGATTTAGCACAATTGGGCTCTCAGTTTTAAGCACATTGATTGCTAAAAACAAAGGGGAAGCACATTTGTTTAATAATGGTTACTAACCACAAAACCAAAGCATCTGAATCCATCTTTAGAGACACATTTATTTCTAAACTTAAATTTAAGGAAAAAATGATCACATGGATCTTGACAGAATACATCCCAAAGTCTTCAGCTTTGATTTCTTTTGAGCATAAAAATACACTCTATGAAAATGAGAGAACACCCCTCCAATGATCTGATTAACTACTTTTCAAAAATAACTGGAGATTCATGGTGCCCATAACCCCTTCCCTCTGGTGAAGAAGAATCATGTGGCTCATCTTTGTTAAAAATCTCTTTCCTAAAGATAAAATAAGGTGAAATCAGAGATGGAGACAAACCATAAGAGACTCTTAACTCTAGGGAGCAAACTGAGGGTCACTCGAGGGGAGGTAGGTGGGGTGATGGAATGATTATGTGATGTGCATTAAGGAGGGCATATGATATAATGAGCACTAGGTGTTATATGCAATTGGTGAATCACTAAGTTCTACCCCTGAAACTAATAATACACTCTATGTTAATTAAAATGAATTTAAATAAAAAATAAAATTAAAAAATAAAAGAATTGTATAAATTCAGCCCTATTTTATAAACAAATGCAAGAAAAATCAATCATGAAAAATGAAGATTCATTTATTAACTGAATCTGACCAGACAACTGTAAAATAAATGATTTGGAAAAAGAAATCCCTTTCCTAGGACCATGGGCTAGGGCATGCCTCAAGGGCCCATATACTCATCCATTCATCCATTCACAACTTTTTCCTAAAGGCTATTCTATTCCAGAAGTTGGATTAAGGCACTGGCCAACAGGAACTGATAGATTACAGATGAGAGAATGATATATGACCAGAAAAAAAGCAAATTGATGCACTGTAACCATATTCACCTGTGAATATCTGTATGCCTGCAATGTGGAAGTGAGTTCCTCCATCCTGTGTGTAACACTGTTGCCTTCATGCCAGGCAGAAGCTAGTTAGGGTCAGGGCCTAGGCTGTGTCTATGTTACCTACAGTTCTGACTTCTGACGATGCCACTGGGTGTTCAGTAAGTACTTGCTAAGAGAGGGGTTCACATCTTCTCCTGTGCCATTAGGTCTTTCCCTAAACCTATGGATAGGTTAGACAGTACTGTCTGACCCCTTCTGGAGCCTGGCTCATAGCCCTTCCCTTAGTCCAAACCTGCTCCTCCTTGTGGAGCTAAGGTGACATTTCTTTCCCAAGCCTCTCAGAGCCCCATGTGGCTCTCGGTTCACCAGCTGTGCTCATGCATCCAGCTCCCAGCTAGAAGCAAGAGAAAGGCAGCAAAGTGTGTCCTTCTTTTTCACTTTCAGCTTCAAAATAGAGTTTTAAAATAAATACTGAAAGAGGGGCACTTGGGTGGCCCAGTCAGGTAAGTATCTGACTATTGATTTCAGCTCAGGTCATGATCTCAAGGTTGTGAGATCGAGCCCCACATTGGGCTCCGAGCTCAAGATGGAGCCTACTTAAGATTCTTCCTCTCCCTTTCCCTCTGCCCTCCCCACTCTTTAAAAAAATTTTTTAATTAAAATAAATATTGAAATTACCAACTTAAAATAACATAAGGTAAATACTGAACTCACTAAATTAATAAGATAAAAACCTGATTCTGTTAATGTAGTTCCTTGTTTCTATTTTAAAGGAAAAAGTCCAAATCCTTCATTTTGGGCACTCATACCATAGCTAAAATTCTGGAGAAACTTAGGAAAGAAAGGCACAATATTTAGTATAATTATTCCTAAAACCAAGCCTGTAGGAAGAACATCTTTGTGACATAGAGTGGTGTAAGAAGAGCTCAGCTAAGGGAACTGGAAAAAATGAGTT